TATTAGCACCCTTTTCATCCATGGTTTTGCATGGGCTCTTAGTTACTTGCTAGATCACTTGCTTTTTGTTTGAAATTGTGCTTTATGTGGTTTTTGAAAGTATTTTGTAAAGAGGACATTGTTTAGGAAAACTTTGTAATGATTCTCGTTCGTAAGAATGTATACAAAGATGTTGATCTTTTGAAAATGTTTTCAAGTTTGTAAGATGTTTTGAAAGTGTAGGTGTTTGTTTTGAAAATAGCAAGGATGTCTTGTTTTGAAAGTGAGCAAGTAACCAGGGGCATTCTACCTACTCAAAAGTCTTTCATGTTTATTTCCTTTTTCCTTTGACATTGTTATCTTACCATTGATTTGGTAAGTAACTCTATCTTTGGATGTAAACGGGACGGACGAGGGTCATCGTATAATCGTGATTAGCAATGTTACAAGGTATCTTAGAATTCTCTTTTAGGGACTAAGATCATTTGAAAGGAAACATGGATAACGTCATCGAGGGACTATGATCTTGTATTTTTCTTGTTTTTGCTAAGATACCTCACATGCGTAATATGGCTATTTAGTAAGGCAACCAAGTGGATTTACCCTAGGGGTGCTTGTGTGCAAGTGTATTGATTTACATGCATTGTTTTTGTCTTGATTAGGGTTTGCTATTTTGTTGGTTTTAGTCTTTCCATACAAAACCCTAATTACTAGCATTTGTATAAAGCGATAAATTGCGGAATTTAAAATTACTACGCTATTACATCATTTAGGGAAGGGGGTATACAAATTTACAAATGGAGAATATTGCAAGAATTTAAATCTAAATAAATATTACAACCATATTGAATAAATGTACAAGAATTGAATAAATAATAATGTACAAATGTAAATGGAAAAAGAAATGATTTTTGTTGTTTTTATGAAAGGGTTTAGTCTTGACCTAATTAAAGTAAATGATTAATGAAAATTAAACAAAATTAAGTTTAAACTAATTAAGAAAGAAATTAAGTTGAAAAATGATTTTTAGGGTTTTTAAGAAAAAGGTTTCAAATTAATAAAAATAAAATGAGAAAATTAATTAAGTAAGAGAAACCTAAATTCTAAATTAATTTTAATTTACAAGTAAATAATATAATAATTAAACTTAAGTCTAAATATTGATTATTAAAAAAAAAGAAATTAATTTGTTAAAAGAAAATATTTTTAATCTTTTTGTTTTATAGAGAAAATAAAATATACAAGTGTAAATAATAAAAATATTTTTATATTTTTTATTAATAAAAATGATAATAATAATAATAGTAATAATAATAAAAGTATAATAAAGAGAAAAAAATAAAAAAATAGAATAAGAAAAAAAGAAAATAATAAAAGAAAATGGGCCACGAGTGCAAAAGTAGTCAAGGGTTAGAAAAAAGCAAAAATGGAAGGCCCATCTGTTTGGAGGCCCAGCGTCTGTTACAGAAACAAAAAAGAGAGAAAATATTGAAAAATGAGAAAAGGTAGCGCTGGGTGTTGAACCCATGCCCTCCAACACAAACACACGCTACCTTTGCCACTAGGGTGGTTGTACATCCGTTAACTTATCTGAAATAATAAATACATAATGCAAACAAAAGTTCCAGAAATGAACTTCATCTTCAATCTCCAGCCATGGTTCCTGTAACTCACTCATCTCTCATCCATTCACAAAACTTCCAACATCAAACTTGTTGTAAATTTCCTCACGATTCTGAATATGTAAATAACTTAAGATAATTCTCAAAGATGAACATACATTTTTAAAAGTACCAAATTTTGACCTTATATTTTCAGCAAGTTCAAACTCAAAATTCTCACTACTCAAGCAATATAAATGAAATCAATGGACATGTATAGTTTTAGGGCAATGATGTCTACATTTTATCTTCACAAATGCAAGCCTAACAATGCCTAAATGAGAAGATAGAAGTTCAAGAAATATACCTCAAAACTGGAAATCGTGAAATAAGTTTGAGCTTGATTCAAGATTCTGCAATGATCAGGTTAGCTTTCTTGAGTCTCTAGGAAGCCAAAGCAATTTTTAGCTTGAATTGAGAGTGGTTGAAATGGCCTGAAGAAGTCAAGTTGCAGAATCTATTTTTTGGTTATGGAGGTTATGGTAAATGGTGTTACAGTTCTGGAATAAGGATGGGGATGAGTTGCATTTGATGTAAGGAAACTTTAGGAATGAATTTGAGGGAAAACACACGAGGGAAATGAGAGATACAAGTTTAAGGTCAGTACTGTGTATTAATGGAGTTTTTTTGTGAGGGAATTTGGTAGTGTTTCAGGATGCTAAAACTCGTGTGTTAGCTCACAAATAGTGACTCTATTTATAAGCAACAAGTTTGAAGTGCTCTAGTTGATCAGAATTCAAATTTTCATGTTTAAGTTCAACATGTGATTTTTTTGACAAAACAAGTTTCCATGCCTTGTACTTGGTTCATAGAGTGGTTATGCTTTAAACAAGCTTGCTTCTGACTTTGTTGATGGAGTGTGATCAGAGGGAACAAGTTAGAGGCTCAAGAATGGACTTGATGCAAAAATCTTGCTTTACAAGAATGGCAATGTTAACTTTGTGCCATTAATGGAAATGCAACTTGGATAATAGCTCAATTGCTTGGATCAAAGCCCTAACAGCTGTGTAAACAATTTAATTATGGAGTGACAAACAAGTTTGAGGCCTGCAAAGCAAAGATTATGCAGCCTAGCATGGATTTAGTTCATGTGTTCATCAAAAAATGACTTGTAATTCAAGTTTGAAAACCCTAACTTCCTCTCTTCGATTCTCCTTGCTCAAGAATGACCTCAAGGAGTTCTTGAACATTTTGGAAAGCTTGTAATGTGCTATACAACCCATATTTTAATCAATTTTAAAAATTCCCCTTGGAAATATATGAAAAAGTGCCATGAAGTTAGGTCAAAATCCTGACCAAATTAGGGCAAAATTTCACTAAGTGTTTTTGTTTCATGACCATGACTTTATGAATTAATAACTTAAGATACAAGCACTTTTAGGAGAAGTTGTGTGAAGCAAATTTGTATATTTCATGGAGATCTACAACTTTCATGTTGGAAGTTTCTTTTGAATCATCTTGCATCATGGTGAAAAATTGGCTTGAAGTTATGAAAAAACATGAAGTTTAAACACTTAGAAAAATTTCTAAGTTAGAAAACTTTGACTTTTCAAAATGAAATCTTGACTTTTTTGATTTCTTGATGAATAAGTTTCATATTTTGACATTTTTTTGATGAATTTTGATCTTTGACATTGAATTTTGACCAAAAAGTCAAAGTTTGACTTTTCAGTATACAATTGACTTTTTGATCAATTGACTGAAAATTCACTATCAATCCAATTGATCTTGAGCAATGTTTTAGGTCATGCCATTAGGTCAAAATTATGCAATTGAATTATTGAAATCATGCTTCAAACCAGTTGACTATTTGCTAGGTCAAAAATCAGAAATTGCCCCTTCTCAGTCAAAACCCTAATTTTGACCATTTTGCCCTTTTGATGATTTGATCAAATTTCTTGAGGAATTATGGTCCAAACTTAATCAAATGATACATATGAGTTTATAATGTTTATTTGGATAAAAAATTATGAAGTTTGACTGTAAATTGGCCATGGTTGACTTTTTCCCCAATACAGTTGATTTTTAGGTCAACTGCTCAATTGACTGAGCAAAAATTTGATCCAAAGCTTGAAACTTGATACGAGTAGTCTTGAGGGTCCATAATGATCCATGAAAGTAATATGGGGCATTGGAAGTTCAAATATTCTTGTGCAATCTTAAACCCTAATTTTGGTCATCAAAGCTTAAAGAGGTGTCTTGAGCTGATCAACCCTAATGCAGTCTTGAGTCAAAGGAGATCTTGTAAGCAAATTCTTGATAAATGAGAGGGAAAATTTTGGGGTACAACATATATGTAGACACATAAAATAAGAATTTATGCAATTTCAGAAATCTTTTAGTATGTATCGACCTGAAGGTTATATGTGTCGACATGTGACTTACAGAAGCTTACAGGCTTAAAAATTGAGTGACATGTGTCAAGCTGAAAATCGAATGTGTCGACACATGCAATACAAAAACATGTAGAAACTGCTTTTCAATATGTTGGGTTAATTTCAAAGAACTTTTTGATGATTCCTAAGACCTATAATATAGAGGAGACCTACAAGTAGGGGTATTCACGGTTCGATTTGGATCGATTTTAAGATAAAAAATCATCTGATCTAAAGATTCAAAGAGCATGCATTTTAGATCGGTTTTTGGATGACACCATAAAAATCCAATCCAATTCGATCAATTTATTCAATTTCATTCAGTTCGATTAATTCGGTTTTATTCGATTTTAAAGTAGAAATTATTTTCAAATTGAAAATAATTTAAATATTAAAATTTACAAGGACAATACAAGAATAATAGTGTACCATAGAATAACAGTGTTTCATAGAATAATAGAATAATAGTACATAAAATTTTACATTAAATTCAAATATATATTATATATATTAGTATATTACCATAGATACATTAAATTAGCATCTAATGTAATGCATCAATAGAAAGTCTTTATATATATATATATATATATATATATATATATATATATATATATATATATATATATATATATATATATATATATATATATATATATATATATATATATATATATATATATATATATATATATATATATATATATATATATATATATATATATATATATATATATATATATATATATATATATATATATATATATATATATATATATATATATATATATATATATATATATATATATATATATATATATATACATATTCTAAAACGTGTTCCAATTCAAATAATAACTCAAATAACAACATCAATTGAGTTCCAGCAGCATAAAGTATAACATAAACAACATAAATAATAACAAAAACAATAGTTTCAGCAGCTCAACAGTTCCAACAACTTTCACAATGCGTATATCAATTGCTAATCAGAATCTATATCAGATACACCTTCATTCAATTGTGGGATTGGAGCAAGTTCTACAAAATATTAAGTAATTCAAGTTATAAACAATACAAGTAATCTAACAAAAAAGTAATTCAAGTTATACATAATACAAGTAATCCAACAAAAAAATAATTCAAGTTATAAGTAATTTACCTGATTCCAGATTTTCTAACTCATCCACAAGCTCTTCAATATCGATTGATACCAGGGAAGATTTACACCAATTTTGTGTACAAATTAAAGTTTCAATTGTTTTTGGCGTAAGAGAGCTTCTATAACAAGTAAGCACTCTACCTCCAGTAGAGAAAGCAAATTTCGAAGCTACAATAGACACAAGCATGGCCAATACATCTCTAGCCCTTTGACCAAGAATATGGTACTTGTTGGAATTCACCTTCCACAAATTCAAGATATCAAAACCAGAACTTTTCTTCTCCAATTTCTGTGAGATACAAATCCACTTCATTTTTCTGCATGCTCTCATTAATATTCATGTCCATCTCAACCTCCAAAGAAAATGCATCCTCGGGTGCTTTGAGTTCTACCGAATCCACATCATGAGAGGAATGTGTAGGGTTTTCATATTGACCTTTACCAAGGAAATTCCTATAACTCTCAAATATTTTATATAATGTCTCCTCTATTTTTTTAGACAAAGATTCAACAACATCATTTTCATATGCCCTGTTCAAGCCCTACCTAACAAACTGCATCTTATGTCGAGGATCAAGCACAACAACAAGAAATATCAGCTTATTCATTTTTTCAACATCACCCCAATATTTATCATACTTAACTTTCATATTTTCAGCCATGTTTCCAAGCAAGTTATTTGAACTTTTTAATTCTATCCACCCCTTCAAAGAATTCAATATTCTAACGTGTTCGTTGAAATATTGAGAAGATGTTACAAAAGTAGAACCTGGGACTTTCTTTGTAATGTCAAAAACTATTTTCAAGAAATTAATAAAACACTTTGCATTATCCCGAATCCACATTATTTGGAATACCACCTTTCATCAACACAAAATCAACACACTTCTCACTCAATCTCTTAAATTCTTTCTAAAACTTCAATGCACTTTCAAGAATGAGATATGTGGAATTCCACCTAGTGGAAACATCCAACTGAACAATCGAATTTTCTTGTAACCTAGCTTCCTTAATACAAGTTTTAAACCTCTCCATACGACCCAGAGATGCAAGAACATATCTAACAACATTCTAATCTTACTAATTGAAGAATGATAGTCTTCGAGTCCATCTTGCACCACAAGATTCAGAATATGTGCACAACAACGAACATGCATATATTCCAATTTCAATGGATGTGAATTCCAATCATTCATTGTATTTTTCAAGTAAGTGATAGCGACATCATTAGAAATAGCATTATCAACCATAATGGTGAAAACATTACCTATTAGCCATTCCTCCAAACATTTTTCAATTTTTTTTTGCGGATGGTTACTCCTTTGTGATTCACAATTGGACAGAAATTCAAAATCCTTTTATGGATTTTCCAATCATGATCAATGAAATGGGCAGTGAGACAGATATAACTCAAATTTTACACTGATGTCCAACAATTAGTTGTAAGACAGACACATTGATTTGATTTATTTAACACACTTTTTAACTTTTGTTTCTCACTCGTGTACAAATCCCAACAATCTCTAGAAACTATAATTCTTTTAGGAGTCAAGAGTTTAGGTTGAACGACACTCATAAAATGAAGAAACCCCTCTCCCTCTACAAACTTAAAATCTAACTCATCAACAATAATCATCCTAGCTAACGCTTTCCTACATGCCTCAACATCAAAATGGACACTAGTGAGAACACTACCAGATCCATTCCCTTCTTCTTTTTTCAGTTGTTGAAGAACAAGAGTTTGTTGAGTGGGATCAATAGACTCTTTGGGAAACTTCTTACATTGGTTCAACATATGGTGTTTCAAATTACCAGTGCCATTTCTTTGTGAATCAGCAACATATGTTACATCACACTAATTACACTTAGCTCTTGATCCTATTTTTGTAAAATGTTCCCAAGTCTAAGATCTAGGTTTAATAGCTTTTCTATTACCTAAATCTCCTGCTACAATATTAGGATCATTGGATGTTGCCCGTGTTGAAGCTTCTCCAAATTTCCTTTTCTCATTAGCATTTTATTTATCATTATTCACTTCATTAGTTTGTTCCAACGTAGGTGGAGGTTCGGCTGTTTCACCCTGTAATGTAGGATCCAACATAAATTACTTCCACTTCAGTGACTTTATTAAAGCTCCAACCTCTAGTCATTACATGCAGCAAAATTAGGATAAAGGTCTACCAAAATTTATAAAGAAACATGAGGCGCATCATTAACAACCTTTGTGTGAGTAAGAGAAAAGAGTGTTACCCCATTAAATAAGCAGTATTTTCAAAACAAAACATGGAGCTAAACTTATTAATTCACAGACCCCTCACAGTCTGAACATTTCCATTTAATAACATTACTACAATATATATATATATATATATATATATATATATATATATATATATATATATATATATATATATATATATATATATATATATATATATATATATATATTACAGTCAATTTACACATCAAGCACAAGACAAATTTTCTTATCATATACTTCTTTCACATATAAAACTGCAATATATATTACAGTCAATTTACACATCAAGCACAAGACAAAGTTTCTCATCATATACTTCTTTCACATATAAAACTGCAATATATATTACAGTCAATTTACACATCAAGCACAAGACAAAGTTTCTCATCATATACTTCTTTCACATATAAAACTGTAATATATATTACAGTCAATTTACACACCCCTCACAAAACAAAACTGCAAAATTTATTTCACATATAAAAACTCAATATAATGCTACAAAATTTATGATTAATTCAGTGTATCCGTATAGGAATTTTTTTATAACATTGTTGTATCATTGTAACATTAATCAACATTTCCTAATGTAAAAATAAACCACTTAAAATTAAGTTTTGATACCTAAATGTGGTTGCTAATAATATCGGATTGAGTAGATGAAGCAACTGGATCAGTAGACATATATGTGCTCATTCCTTTAAAAATCAAACAAATTAAAAATTAGAACATATTGAGAATTGAGATGAAGACATGTAACAATCTTAACATCTTACTTATTGTTACTGTCACAGTGTCATTACTGGTATATGAAAATCTAAAACAAATTATACAAACAAAAATATTCATTCATGAAGATATTAAGATGAATTGAACAACTTACTTACTACTAATATCAACCTGTATGGCCGAGATTCGAAACCAAAAAAGAAATTGAGGTGAGCTGTTGCGAATGCAAGTGACAACCGAGAATTGAGATGAAGAATTGCGAACAGAGATTCAAAATAGTATCTTAAATTTAGAATTATAAGGAGTGAAATCGGCGGATTAAAACGGCTACAATCATTGTCATTCATAGTGAAATTAATTTGGAGGATTGAAAGCGTGATTTTAGGGGTGGCGATTGAGAATCTCTTTGAAGAGTTGGAGATATGAACTGCTGCGCTAAGTCGCTAACCCTAATTTACCATAAGATGAATGATTTTATTCATTATTGAACCAGTAATGGCATAAGTACATAAGGCTGTGGAATAAATACCAGTTTAGTTTTGACCAGTTTGGTTCTCATGTAGCCAACTGTAAACTGAACCGAACCGGTCGGTTATACTACATGGTGGTCCAATCACATAAAAAAAATTGGTTTTATTTGGACTTCGGTTTTTTCGGTTGGTTTTCGGTTTTTTTGGATTGGATTGGATCTGAGCACCCCTAACCACAAGACATGGAGATATCATCCATTTTACAACGTTACATCTTTTTCGGTTTTGACATCATGAAAAAAACCTTGTATTAAATTTGTACTCACAGATGCATCATTGAAAACTACAAGAGATCTCATATCAAGTCCCACTTGAGAATAAGGCTTTCAGACATCCTTCCAATCCATACTTACCATTATCATTTTTCCAACATCGCCATACCAAATGAAATTCTTGAAGAACCTATCAAGCTTTTTGGTTAAGGAAATATGCCAATAATAAATAGAAAAATAGTGGATAAGTATAGGTTAAATTGTTGATTTGATAAGTTGAACTCTGCCAGCAAAACTTAATAGAGAAGGTTTCTAATTCCCCAACATGGCTTTAATTTTATCAATAATAAGTTTCAAATAGGAAGTTCTAGGTTTTCCCTTGATAATGGGAACACCAAGGTAGTTGAAGGGGAGACTCCCAACTTTGAAACCAAAGAGAGAAGAAAGTTTGTTGAGCCTAGAATCAGAAATAGATCCAGCATAGATGGTGGACTTATTAAGATTCACAACCTGACAAGAAGCTGGGGAATTTGGTATTATGATAATTTCCAATCAAGGAGCTAGAATTAGAGATAATGTTTGAATAATTACTCTTTATGCTGCTCCAAATTGAGGAAGAGATATGGTAGGAAAGAGCACAATCATTTTTCAAAGCTCTGCATTTAAGAAGTAAGGCCCAGTATTCATTAGAATTTAAAACTTCCCAACAAAATTTCATGTTAGTTGCATCATTGAGCACTGCAAGAGATCTAATACCAAGGCCCCTTGAGATAAGGCTTGCAAACATCCTTTCAACCCATAATTACCATTTTCATTTTTCCAACATCACCAAACCAAATAAAATTCTTGAAGAACATGTCAAGCTCTTTAGTTAAGGAAACAAACCTAGAATAAACACCAAAATAGTGGACAAGCATAGTTTGAATTACTAATTTGATAAGTTGAACTCTGTCAGTGAAGCTTAAAATAGAGGTTTTCCAATTCGACAACTTGGATTTTATTTTATCAATAATATGTTTCAAATAGGAAGCTCTAGGTTTCCCCTTGAAAATGGGAATGCCAACATAGTTTAAGGAAGGCTTCCATCTTTTAAACAAGGAGAGAAGAAAGTTGGTTGAGCCTAGAATCAAAAATAGATCTTACATAGATGGTGGACTTATTAGGATTTACAACCTGACCAGAAGCTTTTGCATATCTAGAGAAATTGGTTATTTAGGCTTCCACTGAAGACTGGTTGCCCATGCAGAACACCATTACATCATTTGCATAGAGGTAGTAGGAAACAACCTTCATGTCTCTAACACCCTTAATGAGCTTCTACTGACTTTGAAGATCCAATTTGAGATACTTCTACTAATCACTTCCTAAACAATGCAAAATAGAACTGCAGACAAGGGGTCACCTTGTCTCACCCTTCTATGACACTCAAAGAAACCAAAAGCCTTGAAAACACTTTGGCTGATGAAAGAATGGTCACGATCCAAGAGAAAAATATGTCACTAAAACCAAACTTGTTAAGGACCCGCAACAAAAAATACCAATCAAGAGAATCAAAAGCTTTAGTCATATAAACTTTCAGGGAAAGTTTCCTGTTGTACCCCAAAATTTTCCCTCCCATATTCCTCAAGACATGTCAAGAATAATCTCCAAGTGACTCAAGTTAGCTCAAGAGTTGGACAGTCAAATCACCTCCTAAGGCAGTCAAGTCAAAATTAGGGTTTTGTGTTGCATCAAGGTCCTCACATCCAAATGACCTCAAGTGCTACCCAATGTACTAATATGTTCTTAAGTTCATCCATGTCAAATTTCAAGCCTTGCAGAGGAAGTTTGGTCAGTCAATTGCTCAAAAGGTCCAAAAACCGACTATGCTAGGGCAAAAGTCAACTGTGTCCTAAATACAGTCAAACCTCAAGATTTTTTGTCAACATTCT